TTTAAGTCGGAACGTTGGTACTAAAGTCCGATGTCGGCGCTCGTAGACCGGCAGCTAATGATGATCGATGATCTTTTCACCAGAACATAGCCGTGTCCAACCTAGACAAGATGCGAACGAGCCGGAGTGCTTGCCGAGATATGGCGCTACTCGTGAAAGATATGCTATATTGAATTGTCGAAGACAAGCACACGATGCCAGACATTTGCTCGCTCGAAGGGACAGAAAACATATATCGTCAGCACGGTAAAACCATAGATCGAATATTTCTTCGAGTTCTTTCTTATAAACCTGGCGCTGATCATTCTGAGATGTATTGGATCGTTCCATAAGTAATGCGATTTGTTTAAAAATACAGTTTAGAACAATGTTATAGTATAGAACATGTTACTCCACTTGTAAAATTTGTATTACACAACATATTCATCTATTACCTGCTCATAAGAGACTTATTTGATATTCGATAACATGTGAAAGTATTTAACTGCGAATTCTCTCAAAATCATAAAGATTTGTCTCGGTACCAATAAATATGATACTTTCTTTATTCCTTCTTTAATATTCGAACCTAAAAGTAGGAATTCTCGAATGATCGTTTATAATAATTAACGTGCAATATGTTGTGTAAGAACTTGGAAAAAATTCCTTAGAATCTGCATGTTTTTAATACTTTTGCATAGGTTTGTGCTTCGATAGTAAAGAGTTTGTGAGTGTAGTATTGTAGTTTAAGTAATGGACATATTTTGATTGCTAGCATAAGGATCAATCAGGGATAATGAATATATTCGTCATTTGTATTATCTCTCATGTTTCACTGATTTCGTGTTTTTCATTTCCTTATCGAAAAATTCTTGGGCTTAATTATATCTTGATATCCAAGACTGTCTAAATTAAATTATAATTGTATTCAAGATGAAATAAATCGCTTAACATCATTACCATTCTTTTTTACTTAAATTTAAATGGATATTCGTTACCAGGAAACTACCCGGATAACAGTTAAAAATCGGTAGTTAACATTTGAACGATAAGGTCATAATGATGAAAATTTACGTCTAGTACTGAATATATCAGTCACTTGATTATTCTTCATAAAATATGTCCGAAATAATATACATTTCATTGTGCATGTTTTTTTCGAATTCGGATAAAATTTTATTTTTATATTTTACGTTCATCATCGTGTATCGCGATGACAACCTATTCGCAGTGAACAACATTTAGTTTGACGCAATACGGAGTCCTTCGTTGTCAACGTGATAAGATACAGTTTACGTTAAGTGTATAATAAAGAGTATAAAGTATATAAAAGTATATTCCTGAAATATAAGTAGTTAAACAATTATAGCAATTAAATTATATTAATTAAATATTTCACTATCGTAAATAGGAGCATTTATACGTGCCATACCAAAATTTCACACGTGCAGCTCGAATATCACAGTTATTAAAAATAATTTACTACGAATATTTGAAATGAACACAAAGAAAGAAAAAAATATTCAACGTGACATATTAAATGAGTCTAACGAAGGTAATATTGCAATCGTAGCTGTAAGAAGTATATTTAAGGCATACTGCGTGTAAGATAAATCATGTGTTGAGAGGTTGAAAAGTTTAATCCTAGATCACGATACTGCCATTCAAATAACGACATAACAATACAGAAAGAACATTGGTCACATGACGGTGTTATAATCTAGGATTAATAAAGACATCTAAGAGGTTGCCATTCAGTAAAATACAATATAAAACTATGAATAAATTGCAGATCTTGTTTATAATATTTGCAAATTTGTAAAAATATGAGAAAATGTTTACGTTAACGATATTTTCATTTTCTTTTTCCCACGGGGAATCTTGTAATGGGTGAAATCAACTTTTTCCCTTATTCTAGTTTTTGCAAAGCGATCAGAGAAAATGAGAATTTGTATAAAGGCTCGCAGTCTACTCATGAAGAATTCGCTCGCAGATTGAATTCAACTCAGATTATTTTCACCTAATATACATATTGATAAAATCGTATTACTTACAGGATAACCCAACGTGTAAATGAAGAAAATCGAGGCCGTCCGATAGAGTGCTGGTTAACGTTATGTTATGCTTGCACGGTTCTCTTTTTCCGTATCACCAGAGTTTCTTCGCATCCTGATTATGTTTTAATAGGCCGGGAATCTTTACCAGCGTTGGCCTTTTATCTAATGGAAAAACGGGTGGAGGAATGCGGTCGTAAACTTTTCTCTCGAATCAACGCAGTTTCTTCGACGCAGCGCGTTTTCTTTAAACTCGAAGTCGTAACTTTGGAGGCGCTGAAGTTCTTGCTGGATTTGCCAAGGTCCGTCCTGTAATAGAACGTTTTTGCCTCCTTCGAAGACTACTGGTATCGTAACGAGGTAATCAAACGGCGACTTTTCCAATAAATCTGATAACGAGGATCGGTATATATTAATTGAATTCGAGGATAGTTTTCATGTAGAGGATATCTAAATAATATTAAAGACATGTCAGTGTTGATCGGTCTCGAGATTATTTTCATGCATGTTTATTTACCGTACGAAAGTTTGGGAGCACTTGAATGAAATCTCGGGAAGAGGTATTACGGACATTTTATTACAACTAAGTTTATAAGTGTATGTTCTGTATACGTATATATGAAAGGAAAAATATGAAAGAATATATTGTGTGAGATAACTGAGCGTGATCTAAACAGATGTGATATTAAATCTAGTACCTGAAAATTTTATAGAAAATTATGTAACACGAAACATGAAGTAATGGTTTCATGAAATTCTATCAATGGTAATTAGTTTGTTTGTAGATTGGTGCAGTGAAAGTAATAAACTATGCAATTTTATTTTGATTGTTTTAATTTGTCTTACGACAGAAAACTGCGAGTTCAAGCTCACGTCTTAACAAAAATTGTTAGATTCTTATTATAAAACCACAATTCACAGAAATGTGGTTAAATAGTGAAAGAGTTTGCGTTCATTCAAACTACAAACTACAAACGTAAAAAGGAGATGGCTCCTTGAACCCTTCTTCTTACATAATAGGATACATACAATTTGATCCCGAATTTTGAAGTTAAAGTTAAAGACAACGTTACACGTTTTATTCAAGCGTTGAAACACATTTATATAAGTCCTTTCTTTTCTCTTGTACGATGATTTTACTAGTAAATTTTGCAAAATCTCCTTGTTTGAACTTATCGACAACTGATTATTTTCACAGAAAGTATTTCTATTATACTTTGACTCAGATTTTCCTTAAATCTATCAATAAAAATTCGCTTACTGCTTCCATTTGTGAGTAAAGAAAATAAATAATTTAAATAATGTACCCGAGTAGTTGGAATAACATGGGACACGTTTCGTTCGTGAAAAATCTGGATATAAATGTAAATATCGTATAAATGATATTATCATATATGAATTGTCACGTGCAAATTGCACTTTAGTTTTGTCTTTGTACATCCGTATTTCTTTGTGAGTGTTAACTTAGTATGACGGTATAACACTTTATAAGTGTGAACATAGTATACTGATAAATGTTCAAAGTTTCCGAGTATAAGCCCTGTCTATTAGAAATGATTTTCTGATGTTTCGCTAGCACTGCAGCTGGTATCATTAGGGTTCTGAGGGCTCACTGATACTGGGTAGCCATAATCAGTACTTCATGTTTAATCCTTTGCACTCCAAAAGTACTTCACCAGAAATATTCAACATTTTCTGATGAGATGCAAACGATATATTTTGAAAGCAATTTAACGAGACTGTGTACATTGATTAAGGAGCACAGTTCTTTTTATTCAATATTCGACATATTGATGCATTATACGAAGCTTAACATAAAATGTTAAATTTTATAATTTTGTATATGTTGAATCAAGTGGCCACTAAGAGTGGCCATTGAAGTGCGGAAAAGTAACATATGGCTTCCTCGGCGTTACGTATGAATGATCACCAATCAGGTTATTTAATTGGTTAGCTGATCAATTAAAAAATGGTAGGAGAGTGCTCCAAATGGGGCTGAACTTGTTACCGGAATATCTCTTGCAGTTATTGAGATGTTTCAGGATTTCCAGTGGTTGCCAGTATTTTTTCTGGTATAATCAAGTGCCTTTTGCTATTATTTTAGTTTCGTCAAACAGGATTTTGTGCCGTTTGATTATCTGACGCTCAGCGATGGCAGGTTATGTGTACTTCAATCTGGAGCATTTCTAATATTTCTTGAGTTGTACATTCAAGGTTCCTTCCAGTTTCACTGATTTAACCTTTCCGCAAGATTATTATTTAGATACCTGGTACGGTCATTTAGATACCTCTTGAAGTCAGTTGTGGAACTGGATGCTTGGGGATGATGAGAACTTGTCCTATTTTTGTGTATGTTGAGCAGATGTTTTTTATATAGTTCAGCTGAGTTGTTGTTTAATTTGCCAACTAACCAATTAAACAAACCTGATTGAAGATAAGATGTATGAAAGCGTACGTTTGAATAGGAAGGACTGATTATGTCTAACTAATATCAGTGAGTCCATAGATTCAAATCATGAAATTTTTAATGGGCACGGCTTACACCTGGAAACTGTCAACATTTCATAATATTCCTAGCAGGTAAAAACCTCAAACAAATCGTTAACACGGTATAGTTTATTGAAGATTAATAATCAGCAGCCAAAGATTTCTTAATAAATATACCACTATCAATAGCATTCATATTCTTTTTGGAAGTATTGTTTACAGAAAATTATTAATCTTTAAAGGATCACAAAGAAATCTAACATCGAAAATTTGTAATACTCAATAGACGCATGTATGTGTATGAAGAATGGTTAAAAAAAAGTGTATATAGATTGTTTTTATTCTTATCTTTCTTTATTTAATTCATTAGTTTAACATTTATCAGTTTTACAGATTTAATACATAAAATTGGTTTTCTAACGCTTTGTGCATACTGGTAACCGACAATTCGGATAACTGATGAAAGACTTTTGAGTATATATTCTTTTTGATTTGAGGTTTTATAAGCCTATTAATAGCCGCTCGGTAAATAGGTTGATAATAACAGAATATCCTCTCGAATTAATTCGAAGATTTATAATTTTTATCGAAAAGGAAAGTAAGTACTGATTGAATGGTTCTCATGTTCGGTTAAAATCATTTTGGACATCACCTCAATCCTCTTGTGTAACTCAAAGTTAGTATTCCGAGATTGCTTTTCCATCTGTGTAGACAGGTTTCACGCAACCTTCGGACAGCCAATGCCCTCAAACATTTTACTATAATTTCTATGATAATCTATGCTATTATCGGGGCTCGTTCTGTGCACTTTTTGTTCGGAACGAGGCTAGCCATACTTGTGTTTCACGAGATAGCGTGATGGGCTATCTCCACCTCTTTGATTCGCCAAAAACGACGAGGACGAATTACGGAAAAAATTCCATAATCGCGTTCATAAGTTTTCACCGGCGACAGCACTTAAAGCCCTCACTGGCGACCAACTCACCTCGATTATGCCTTCCGACTTGTCATTTGCCAAGCCAATTTTCCGAATCTGGAACAAAAACAAAATGAATGTCAACGATTGCCCGGACTGTCAGTCGCAAGGATAACGCCATCCGCGAGTCGAAAGGACGTGTAACCGTCTGCGGAGTATAATTATTAATTCCAGCTGCCGGTATATAAAAACAGTAAATGAGGTAAATAAGCGATTCACAGACCACGGATACACCATTTTTTCATAGTAATAATTATTGATTCAAATATAGGAATACTTTCATTGAATATTAATTAATATTGATATTAATTCAACGATTAAAATAAATTTTCTGTAAGTAGAGATTATATTCACATCCATATCTTATTAGCTTATTTGTAACAGTCACTATGTTTCAAAACTAGAGGAATAAAAAAATACCGTTTGTTTGCGATTCAGCTATACTGTTCGACAAGTTTTGACAATCTTTATGTTTTCCACGATTTAAACATTTTTTTCGAGTAATTATGAAGTAAAATAGAAAAACCGTTTTAGCAAATACTTGACAACATTGTAACTTTATTTTTACATACTTTTCTTACGTGAAATTGTAAAATGACATAATTATATTATATCATGTTTTTCTTAGCTAGCATCCAGCAGCAAAGATTACTGGAATATAAAAAGCAACAAATTTTTTATGTAACTTTAATTACGAGCGTGTGATCTTTTTCATACTGTGATTCACTGAAATAAATATTTAAACTTAATTATTCTTAAGAAACAGAAATGACAGTTTTTATACTGTTATATTATTCCTCTCTTTTATATAAAAATTCTGAAAGCTCAGAGTGATGAGAAAGTTAACCTTTTACAGTCGTGTTTGAGACAAAAAAGTCAATAAAAATTATTACACATAATATCATATTCGATATTGCAAATAAAAATCGATATTTGACAATGACATTGGAAGGCCCATCTGTCTTGTTGATCAAGGGGTAATTTTATGGTTACGTAAACTTTTATTACAAAAGAAACGACTTCGGAAATAATATTTACTCCTCAACATAATCTTATTAGCATCTGTCTGATTTTATGTCAAGTATGTAATTTGAAACATTTATATTAATTGCACGTGTAAGTGAATTTAACGACCAACCCATAACAAGTACATTGACAACTAAAATACTTTAACCTCATTTATTTGTATTTTTTCATAACATAAAATATGAAACTGGTTGGTGACAGGAATGTACCCACGGATAGGGGCGTTTAGGATGCATCATATAATGAGAAACCATAGATAATCCCTGTAATATATAGTGATCAAGTTTAAAAAATTTTCCGTATTATGCAAATTGATGTAGTATAATACTAGTTGTAAGATCTACTATTTAGCTTTTACAATTATAGGAAATATATTTATCAAGAGTATTAATAATAAGGCAAACATAGGACATATTAATATTGCATACTGCGTCTTAATTTTTTCTCAATATTTTCTGACTGGTAAACGCCCTTAGCTGATTATTTGCTAATATTGCATTAACGGAGCACGGTAAAAAATTACTGTTTCATAATCACTGAAGCGTTATTTTAAAATTAATTGTGTGATGCTTGAAACTAAGGTTACATTGTTTTATAAGAAAAAATATTCTTTACTCACCTAATAAGATACACGTATTTATTATAAAATTTTAGAAAAATGTTTAAAAAGTCAACGCAACTGCTCGGTGGTTTTAGTGTTAAAGAAAAATGTCATTACATTAAATCAATCTTCATTCAACCATGCGTTTCATATTTCGTTCAAAAACTTTCTATTGTCTTTTAGTTCTCCTATTTCCAATATTCATTGATTCATTATTACCTAAACGTCATATTGAAAAATAAAACCACAAAACGTTTCGGAAAAACTTACATTTACACGTACAGGTGTTTCTATTCGCGCCTCCTGCATCTTTTGTTTTAGGACGGATGCGTTTCGTGATTCGTTTGTTTGATAACCTTTTACGTGAACGCCCGAAGCGTCAAGGTTCTTTTATTATGTGCGATCCGTAACTTCTTTATATATGAATGGCTCACTTGCCAAATCGATTAACGTCATAAAACAAAAAGTGCAGAAAAGTGATACAATAGCTATATAATGATTTTCAAAATTTCCCTTTAAATAGAAAATTAATCATTATAGAACATATTTTACTTCATTATTCCAGGCGTAGCTTTAATCTAAAGAATATGTAAACTCTATAAAACAGTATAACTCCGAAGTTACTGTTATTATTACTGCGAGTTTTACATAGGAAATAGAATTGTTGTTATTCCGTGGTATCACGCAATAATAAGAAAATTAATTTTTAATATGAGAAACCAAGAGCAAATTAAGCGTTTCAACTATAAAATCTTAAAACATTCAAAAAGTGGATTTAATCGATTCGACATTGAGCCATTCGTATATCAATACTTCATTTTATCGTTCAACTTTATCTTTTCATTTACACTTACTACACAAGAAATTCAATGCATAATCCTGTGAACACCGATTAGATAATTTCCAAGCTTTATCTTTTCGTTCCAGATCGCACCTGACGATTGTCAATTCCCAAGGACAACTGAGCCGAAGAGGGCAATGTCGCGGTTTAATCTGAAAATGATTTTCAGAGCGCAGATCTACGCAGCTGCGGCATCACGCACGAGCCGCGTTGCTGGAAGTGCATACCGTCGGTGTGGGAGCATAAACTCCTAGCAATCATACGTGAACGCCTACACGGTCTTCGGGCTGACCGCTAGAGCAGCCGGTGTCCATAATGCCTTCTCCCCTTCGGCTCGAGCGCTTCTAAGTTCTCCATAAGCGAGCACACATTCGCTGTTTTCTTCCCTCCGCCTTCCCTGGCTGTATTTTATTATACTCACGAGAGCACCTATGTATCGGCGATTTTAATCGGCCAGCCTCACGGTATTACAATCAAGAGCCACGTCAGAGATAGGCCGCGCTGCGCCGCGCTCGGTGTATAAACAAATTTAATGCTATTCCCCTTATTAACTTCCGAGGCTGTTACCTGCATACATTTACGCGGCACCAGCCCCGAGGTGGAGCTCGCGTAAAAGCTTCAATTTGACATTACAACGTTTCCAAAGTACGGTTTTAGATCTTCGCTCCTTGTTCGTTGACAAGCGAGATTTCTATGCGAAACGGAAGAATAAATTAGCCACACGTTGGTTAAATCAGTTAACCGTGTAAACAAGAAGTAGAAACATTTGATGTGTTTGATGTATAATAATGATCGTTCAATTTTCCTTTGAATGGAAAATCATATAAACATTGTAGAATGTATTTTTCTTTATTGCACGTGTAGGTTTAATGTAACGGGCATGTGAAATGTATAAAATATTATATATTTGGGGTAATAGTTATTATATTTGTAATTTTTGCGTGGTTTAAAGGCTTTTGTTATTTCATGGCAGCGAAATCAGTACTAAGGAAAATTATTTTATAGAGTTAGCTAACCGAGTATGTTCGTGATAAAATCTTGACAAATTTAGGAAGTGGAATTACCTAATTTATCTAATTAGCGAATCAAATTAAGTACGAAATTTGTATACCTACTTCAAACTACCCTTTCAAATATTTCCATTTGATACTGTGCTGTAATAAATTTGTGTACTTTACAATTTTTGTTTCGTGTCCCAAATTAATTGACCAGTTGACTGTGTTTGGCGAGAATATTCGTCACCTTGAAACCCACTATATAAGGTAAATCGCGTAGAGATGGCCTACTTTTTTTAGAAGAAGTATTACGTAATAAATATCATTAATACTTAATAAAAAGAATATATATCTATGAAACTAAATACATGCAAGAACAATAGTTAAGTAGGCTTATCTGCAAGACTCAGTACACCATGAACAATAATTGGAAATATAAATATTTGACAGTCTAACTGAGATCAGCCATCTTGCCCGAAATTGTCTCACTAATATTTTTTAACATTAATTTATTCACCTTTCTAAAGAAACATGTAATTCTTCTCCATTTTCCTTTCATGTTTCATTACGATAGATATTGAGTACAATTGCACTGCGTTTAACGTGTACACTCATTATTTCTTGATTTAATTATGCACACCAAGAGAAACGTTTTGAACTGAAATCCGCAGTTAACAGGGTAATAATATTAAAACTTAATTATATTATATTAAATTAATATCATAATAATATCATTATAAATTGAGAATACTTAAAATAACAATAAAAATAATTTAACTAACGCTATTGATGCTTTTCCATGCAACACATCTGTTTAAATTATTTAGTTCCATTAAATGACCATATTTCCCTGTGCACATTATTAACACTGAAACTACCAGACGGGTCAAATTGACCCACTTCAGTATTTTTATTTTGCAAGTACTTAAATTCTGAAGGCGTTTTTGCAACAGATTTTAACTTAAAGTTTGTTTATACAGATACAAGAGTAGGAGACCCTTTAAATCGCGAGGAACATATTGTTCTAATGTTCATAAAAAAGTGAAAATAACTCAGCAGTTTTGGTGTTAAAAGATTTCTTACAAGAACGGCTGCTATAAGGCGATATTTCATAAAGAAATAAGCAGTTTGAGGAATATCGTGTTTAAGACCCTCCAGCAGATATTCTAAATAAGAAATGCAGGAAGTAATAGAAAATGCTTTTACATCTGAGCACAACGATACCGCGAGAGTTTCAAGAATTCTCTCGAAGTAGTTCGCGGCGAGTGTTTTTTCTCAATTCTCGTGGGTGGAGTTCAGTTGGCGTAACATCCGGCACGGAATAAAGCGTCCGTTACGCAGGCCACAAATTTTCAATCACCCGACGCGATTCCCGATTAACATCGTGTTCCTACAAGCGTATCGATATTTACATACGCATGTGTATGCGAGTCTCGATCCGATTTGCCCCGACTATTCTGTTTCTTTCTTCTTCTCCGCGAACAGTCTCGGCTGAATTACTGCTTGAAATTAAAACGGGTGTAACCGTGCGAACGATATTTGTCCGGCGGCTCGGAACGATAGGCGATCCTTATTGTAGGAGGCGTGTTACAAT